TATGAGATCTCTAATTAACACTGTTTCCCAACTTGGCAGCTCTAACAGCTCATGTATTTCATGTTTATATATAAGACAACCGTTGGATTAACTAGTAACATTTTAAAAGACACCTTATTTACATCTCGTAATGATTTCAAGAGTTCTGTGAAACATGTACTGTTAAGGGTTGGAGAAATACTGCAGTAGTGTTTACAAAAACATGTAAATATTGATATATACATATAAGTAGGTAAGGCACTCTCATGTTTTGCAGTGCAGGTATATCAAAGCATCAGCATTTTATTGTCAATGTTTTGATGGAGCTCGGTTCATCTTTATTTCAACGACTGAGCTCCGTTGAAACATTGATGGTGCTGTGAATTATCTCGGCTGCAAGAATCATGATTATAGAAGCACTCACGGGTCTTGCAGCGGCGATAAGTCAAAGCATCAGCATTTTATTGTCAGCGTTTCAACGGAGCTCAGTGGAAATGTTGACAATAAAATGCTGATGCTTTCACTTATCTTCACGGCAAGACCCATGTGTGCTGGTAAGGAGAGAGATTGCAGACATAATTAGATGATCGGCAGTTGAGGGAATGTAGGTTGTCATATTAGTTTGGCATTGTTGCAAAAACATCAGTGGTTGGGGTGGGTGGAGCCAAAATTGTTATACTAGAACTCAAAACAATAAATGTTTTCAAGGCTGGTTCACACCAGCCACTGGATCGCATTGTGGCCGGCTCACTTTGTGTTGGGGCAGGAGGGTGCATTGAACGATCGCCAATCAGAGCACGTGTGATCTAGCCCTTAGACATTTCCCTCAGTTTTAAAAAATGTGTGAAGGGGAAATTCTATGTTGTGTTTTCTTTGCCTTGGGTCAGTCGTCAGTCATAAAATCCATACCAGACCCCTGTCTAGGATAAGGGTAGGTATTTATTTACTTTTTTGACAAGGTGGAATACGTAATTTTTTTACTTTGACATGTTTTGCAATTGAGACTGAGGTGCTTCGAGATTTTGCAGACTTTTAAAAAGGTGCCGTGACTGGCCGCTGTCAGAATAGAATGAAGACAGTGGAGGAATATGTAATATTTTCTTCATTCAGTCTGCAAGGTAGTGATGTTCAAATCCAACAACAGTTCGACTCGACCATCGGTAGTTTGTGTGTTTGGCGAACAAACAAACTATCAGGGCTTTTCGGTGGGCTATTTGCCCGCCGAGCGCCCCACAAGGCACTGCACACCGCAGAGTGCCTTGTGAAGCGCTGATTGGGTAAAGCAATTCACCTGACCACAGATCAGGAGCAAGACTTTGCCCAATCACGGCACAATGCATTGCAAGAGCCATGATTTGGCAAAATAATGATGACTTTGCCCAATCATGGCTCACAGCTAGGTCCTGCCAGGTGCCGGACAAATGTAAACAATGATGTCACCGCTAGCTTTGCCTAATTGTTCATATTTTGCCAGCATTTGTCAGAATGCCAAAATCATGCGAGTTCGTCGCGAGCAGGCAGGTCGGCGGGTGTTGGATTTCCTTTTTTACTATTATTTGTATTTCTTTTTTTATTTTGTCGAGTCGGCGTCGTCGTGGACAACGCTGGACGTCGTGAAAGACCTTAGGATTACGTTGGTGGATCCATTTTTTTTTTTTCAAATAAAAGACTTGTCAAAAACATGTCTTTTGTTTTTTTCAATAAAAAATTTTTTTCAAAAGTGTGGAGTCTTTTTTACATTTTGAATTTAACCCTTTAATGAATGGGTAGGGGTACAAGCACCCCTTACTCATTCACAAAGGGGGGGGCCGCATCTGGGTGCCCCTTTATTAAACGTGTACCCACTGCCCGCACCCCCACAACCAACGCCGCAGGGCTTTTGGGGAAGAGGCCCTTATCCCCTTTTGCCTTTTGCATGGGGACAAGGTGCTTTTACAGGGTTTCTCCTTAAAATTCCTACCAGACCTGAAGGGCCTGGTATGACTTTGAGAGGGAACCTCACGCACTTTTTTTTTCGTTTTTTTTAAATGGGGTCCCTCTTAACACTCCTACCAGACCTAAAGGGTCTGGTGTTGTTTGGGAGGGGAATCTGAATGCTTTTTTTTTTTGCTCTTTATAAATGTAATTTTTGCTGTAGCAGGTTCTATACATCGTACAGTTGCGCCACTTTACAGTTTAAGGGGACCCCCCAGGCACGATTTTTAAAGGAATTTCTCATTTTTATTGTTTCCCTTTAAGTGATGTTAAAAATCAGGAACAGATGTAGGCATTCTTAAGTAGTTTATCAAGCGCAAACAAAAGGGAAGAAAAATTTAGATATCAGCCAAAGAGTCCAGCTGTGTCTGTATTTGTCTGAGGTGCCTTGTGCTGTGGCATGGGTCTCCTCCATTTGGTCTAATTGATTCACTCTGCCTTGCCATTTCTTGAGAGTAGGATTGGCGGTGCTTTTCCAGTGTGGCAGTACAAGGGTCTTGGCTGTGTTGAGTAAATGTACTGTCAGCGATCTTAACAGAGAATCAGTGTCATGTAGAAGGTAGGCTTAAGGCTTGAAGGGTGGAGGCTTGATGGAGCAGCCTGAGAATGGTGTCATGTATAGCTTCCCAGTAGGGCCTAATTAATGAACACATCCACCAAATGCGGAGGGTAATGCCTGTGTCGCCACAGCCCCTACAGCATTGGTCAGGGAATATAATTTGTGCGGGGTACTGTACCATCTTAATGGAGATAATGGAACATTTATGTATTAAGGTACATATTTTATCCCACTGCTCATCCTTTAAAGTGATGTTAAGCTTATATAGAAACAGGAATAAATAAACAGGAATAAAATAACACAAACACAAATAGGTCAGACTATAAATTTACGTTAAACAACATGCAACACCATTTTATATGTGAACAACAAACTTTACAAACAACACATTATGATTGTAGTAATACCTTTGGGCTTTGGTCCTGCATCATGTAGGTCAGTAGGTGTCTCTCTGTCACAACACCATACCCCCCAGTGTCGGTCGGTGTCTCTCTCTCTCACCCCCCCGGCATCACTTGGTGTCTCAAACAGCGTCAGTCAGTGTCTCTCTCTCTCACCAACCCCCCCAGTGGTCAG